TCGGATGGTAAGTTGGTACTCGCACATGGTAGAGAGTCAGGACCACCATCAGTTTACTTTTGTGTTAAGGTGTATTTATCAGCATCTTTTAAAAAAAACTAAGCTGGCTTGTTGTTACTCCAGTTATTTCTGAGTGCTTCCGTTCTCATCGACGGTGAACAGAGAAGGTTTGATTTTGGGCTTAAAATATTTATCAGGCTTGTTGGTATAGCCGGGTAGCTTTTAGAAGTGCAGCAACTATTAATTTTTCGATATTTTCTCTCATTGTATCTTCAGTGAAATTAATCATTAAAAAAATAATCTGAAATTCATTTAGCCGGTAAAAGCAAAGATTGGGCTCCAGCTTCTTTGTACTGCTCGAAGTCTTTAAAAATACACTCGAAACGTAAATTCAGTTCTAGCAGTATGGGAAAGTCGAAAATTTCATTGTTATGAGATAAAGGGATCGTCTTGGAATCTAATTTATTGACTTTTTTGGCCAGCTCCTTCCTTTTTCTCATGCACCTAAAGTGTGATGCGCAATTTGTAACGGCTTGTTTTGTGATTATTAAGTAGCTGATGAATTGTTTTCTCGCTACATCTCACTTCGATTATTGTTGTTGTCATCAAGGTGTTTTTGTTAATGAGAGGTAAAATTTCTGAGTTCAGAATTTACAACGTCACACATCTCAGTCTACGCAGGTGATCAGTACACTTTGTGGGTACTAAAAAATAGTGTTTGCTTCACTACTAGTGGCTTGCGTTGCCTGCCGCTTTTTAAGAAAATTGCCTAAACATGCCAACAGCAGTTCGTCTTCTAGCACACTGGCCATTTGCATTTCATTATGCCATCGAAGCTTGAAAGAGATACAATTCCGAAATGATTTGGTTCCAACTTAAGGTACAGTAGCGAAAAGGGGACCCTGTGGTCTAATGAAAGATTGCAGCGTTCGAAGATCTTACATCCGTGCTTTGTTTTTATGCGTTTTTGTATGTTTATGCAAATGCAAAAACGCGTATCAACTTAGCAACCAGCAAAGCAAGGAAGCAGGAATTTTCCAAGGATATGACGGTGCGTTAAAATTTATCTTTCACACAAGTCCAGATCTTATGTATAAACAGGTATCACTTTCCACTGGAGCAACGTTGGTATCCATTTAATCGCGGATTACGTGAGCAACTGTGGTTTTATAAAGATATCTGTTGTTCAAGTGTGAGCCCACACACATAAAACTAGCTCTGTGGCTCATCTTTCATGCTTGAATGCTTCAAATGTTGCTGGCCGTGGGCAGTTTTCTCCTCCTGAACGATTGCAAAGATGCTGAATTTTTAATACTTGGCCCATTGTGGACCCAAACGTTTAAAATTAACCCTCGACCAAGCCGTCTCCTTGCGAATGCGCTGGACAGATTTCAGCTTCCAAATTCAGCCAGCAAGACAAATTTCATTTCCATCTTCTGCACTTCATATCATACTAAGCATACCGGGCTATACTTCCCATGATTAAGCATATTTGCGTCATCACTAATGCGTTGTAACAGCGACGTTCCTTTTCGTTGAAGCGGAGGAGATGCTTAAAAAAGGAATGATTGGTGTTCTTCGCGACGCCGCTTTCGTGCATAAGCAATTTCAGATTTGTTAGGTAAGTGAAATCAGCACAGGCGACTGACAAAACCACATAATTGCTTCGGTAATCAAAATCACGTAACTGCTTCGGTATTCAATTTCGGTAATCAATTTGTCACAAACTCCGGCTGCTAGGACTCCAAGTGATCGCTCTGCAACATGAAACAGTACAAAAACGCATGGTCGCGCCGGTCAACCTGATCCGCGCAGCAACTGGCTGAATAATGACAAGACCCACTCTGAAAATTTCAGTGCTTTGGTCCCCGGGAATGTTGCAGATGTAAGGCGGCGGGCGGGGAAATGAAAGAGAAAAATGTGAAACTACACACATCCGAAACAACTCACTTCAATTTTTGCGATTATTCACAAGCAGTTCAGCGAAGCAGTAAAAGAGGGGCACTTTTCTTTCTCCTTTTCAAGACGCTTTTTTTTTCTGAGTAAAATACGCCGTAATATAAAATCTTTTATTCCTTGTCTCTCACTTCATACAATGCATCCCAATCATACCAGTTATTAATTTTTCACGAATGCAGAAATAAACTTCTCTGCTAATTCGTACCAGGAACTTGCAAAATGAAACAACGTAATACAACACCGGAAAAGCTGCTAGCTGTATAGTTGAAAAAAGAGATTATGAATTACAACTGATCAAAGTATTCCAAGCACAAGCACAAAGTTAAAGCACGCCGAGGCCTAGGTCTTTGAGGGTCTATCTTCAAAAACAAAACTTTTCATCCCGCAAAGTTCTATTGCTGCTGCAGTAAACTTACACAACAGCTCATCCGTTCATTCGAATTGCACTTCATTATAGTCAATTTCCGACACTGAAAAAAGTATGTGTGAGATTGTTAATCCAAAAACGACTGCTATTCCATTCTGGGAGAAGTTGCAGATATGCCAAGGCTACTAAAATGACGCAATTCTCTGCGGGAAGCTGAACTGTTCGATCAGCTACACCCCTTTAAATAGCCCTGAAGAATATTACGAGTCATGCAATTTTGCACAACAAAATAACAAACTCTCAGCTG